CGTGAAATCGAAAGCCTTGTTTTGATCAACATAACTATGTAAATTGGTCAATCTCCACTCCGGTGTTAGTTGACTCAAAAGCTGCTCACCCAGGCTCAAAATGGACCTTGAGTTCGTTGACGTAGGGGGCAATGTAGGTGCACCGCGCATTGGCGGCCAAAACGGCCTGTTCCATGCAGAAGAGGGTGGTGGCCAGGGTTGCGACACGGTTCGCCGGGATATCGTCGTTCTCAAGGATGCGACAGGCCCCCAATACCTTCGAAGGTGCCAGGAATCTTAATACAAACCTTCTTTGTATCGAACGTCGGATCGACCCGGGAAAAGATGTCAACAATACCTCGACATCAAGTCAGCCCAAATTGACCGATTTCTTGGGGCAGCCATCATAGCTTACGTTTTGCGTTTCTGTATGTTTTCTTGGTCGAGTACGCCCAATATGGGTTCGTTTGGATGTGGAGGAAACCAGTCACATAGGGTGCGAATTGAATGGAGAGCCGAACCATCTATAGGCGTGAGCATTTAGGCGCTGGACCAACAGCGGCAGATGGATAGGCTCGAATACCATGATCTCGACCGCGAATGTAACCGGATCACCTCCAGGAACAGCCGAGGGCAGCCACGCCAGAGCATCTCGTGCAGATTGCCGGATGAGCTGTTCGTGAATGAGGGTACCATCAGACGCAGTGCGAGCGAGCTCCCCTGCAGCGATAGCCTGAGGTCTGTCAATGAGAGATCTTCAGGATTCAATGCTTGGAGAGTCCGACCTGATTGGAAGTGACATCCACGAAGGGACCGAGCTCTTTGGCCACTTTGTACTTGTCAGTTCAGGCTCCATGGCACTGGCGGACGTAGGGATCTCACCTTGGACGTCAAGCGTGTCACAGCTGATCTTGCTCGCCTTGCGAAGGTCTTCGAGCTGAGAAGGCATGGCGTGTCACAACGATGGTATAATATTCCAGATTCTTCAGTCAAGGAGAATGCGGACGCATGGTGGGAGCCAAAGGATATGATGGCGAGCGGGGAGGTGCAAATGCCGTCCAACGATGGAGCCAGCACGGGTGTGGATGGGTACTTGGAAACCCGACGGATAAATTGGTAGGGAGCCTCTCATGCCGGCCGGCCGGTGTCCTGTGCCAACTACCGCAATGTCTCGACTCATATGATCGCTGTTCCGACATGATGCTGGTAGCGCTGATTCGGTGGCTGTTGTGAGTATGTGTCAGGGACCTGCACGCAAACGCGAGCGTTTGGAGGTGCAGGACCCATAAGCTGACGACCCAGTCGTCGTGAAGTATCGCGGTATGGCGACGCGCATTCGCGGACAGAGGCCGAGACCGGCCGCTGACCGGTCCCCAGATGTATTCTCCGGACGACCCGCTATTTGAGGCGAGATAGGATGGTATCCGAAGGATTGGTCTACAGCTGCGGCGCAACACCCAAGAGTAGAGTCAACGTAAGACAGAATCCAAGGTAGATTCTGAGCGGGTTTTCAGAAGGCGTTTGGTACTTCACCTTGAACTCCACAGTTCACAACGACAGGGGAGGTCCCTGACTGATGGAGGTTCCCAGTGTTGACAGTGGGCAGGGCCGATGGCTGCACCTGCCGCCAGGCGTAGAGATGCACCCAGCAGCTGCTGCTCGTTAAAGAGCTTTCCCGTTTCCGCGTCTGATTCGTGTCAGCCACCGCGTCAGGACCGCGTCAAGCTCTTTCCCCAAATCGACCGTCACCATTTCCTTCTGCCCACCCTCTTTCCACAACCACGCGCAAACCTGCATCGGCTGCCCGGAGCTGAAGAAACTCTGCTTCTGTCGACTACACTTCCAGGTCCTTCATCTACCGATGACTGTGAAATAATACTCGAAAACCTCAGCACAGCGACGCAGCAGCTCCCACGACGACACAAACTCGATAACCCACTCCGACACTCTCTTCCGCGATGGGTATCAAGAACCTGTTCCAAATCCTCAAGGAGGAGGCTCCCGACGCTATCAAGGAGGGCGAGATCAAAAACCAGTTCGGACGAAAGGTGGCCATTGATGCGTCCATGTCGATCTACTCCTTCCTCATCGCAGTGCGGTCGGACGGCCAGCAACTGATGAACGAATCAGGCGAGACGACCTCGCACCTGATGGGCATGTTCTATCGTACACTGCGCATGGTCGACAATGGAATCAAGCCTCTTTACGTCTTTGACGGCGCACCACCCAAACTCAAGTCGGGTGAGCTCGCCAAGCGATTCCAGCGCAAACAAGAAGCCAAGGAGGGGCTCGAGGAAGCCAAGGAGACGGGCACAGCAGAGGATATTGAAAAGTTTTCGCGACGAACGGTGCGCGTGACACGCGAGCACAATGCGGAATGCCAGAAACTGCTGAGGCTGATGGGCGTGCCGTTCATCATTGCGCCCACGGAGGCCGAGGCTCAATGCGCCGTCCTGGCCAAGGGCGGCAAGGTGTACGCTGCCGCGAGCGAGGACATGGACACCCTCACATTTGAGACGCCCATCCTGCTGCGCCATTTGACATACAGTGAGCAGCGCAAGGAGCCGATTCAGGAGATCCATCTCGACAAGGTCATGGAAGGGCTCGGCATGGAGCGCAACCAAGTACGTTGTTCTCCTCGGGGACATGGCCAAGTTTCGGACTCTGCTGACCTGTGGCTAGTTTGTTGACCTCTGCATTCTTCTGGGCTGCGATTACCTCGATCCGGTGCCCAAAGTCGGCCCCAGCACGGCGCTCAAGCTGATCCGCGAGCACAAGACACTCGAAGGGGTGGTGGACTATATCAAGAATGATCCCAAGAGCAAGTACACGCTGCCGGAGGACTGGCCATTTCGCAGACGCGCGCGAACTGTTTCTCAACCCAGACGTGCGACCGGCAGACCACCCCGACTGCGACTTCAAGTGGGAGAAGCCGGACATTGAGGGCCTCGTGACATTCCTTGTGACGGAGAAGGGTTTCTCTGAGGACCGCGTGC